CCATTGTAGCCGGAAGCCTGACCATGCCTGAGGCTGTTCAGAAATGGTATTCAATAAATATTTGTTGTATGAATGAATGAAAACACCAGAAAGCATGAAGCAGGCGCTCCCAGGAAGTGAGTGTTCCTTTCTCATGTAGGAGATAATGGGATCTGGGTACTTCGTGGAGCCTAAAGGGGCTTTGGGGGTTTTTTTCCAGGTGAACTCTGGCGTGAAATTAACATATAAATGCACATTCCACACATGAGCCATTGTACATGATAGGCCCTCAGAATTCTCAGAATTTGAACTGTACCAAAACACTTCCTAATAAGTCCTGGGAACTTTATTCTGACTTTTTCCAGGAGTTTTCAATATTTTCTTCAACTCCTAAGTGAAGCCTGCACAGCCGTTTGAGTGCAGGATGAGTTTCAAGGCATCAAAAACCTAAGCTACTTCTTGGGTTGCATTACATATCTGGTAGGTCGTCTTAAACTTCCACTTTTTAAAAGAAAATTAAATAGAGGTGAATTTTTCATTGACAGTGAAATATATACTAAGCAGTGGATTAATACCTTCATAAAAACTTAACTAAACAAAGCACTGCCTGTCTTATTTATGTAAAGTCTGCAGCCAGAAGGGGAAAGTACTTTCCTGGAATATATTTGTATCTGCCACAAGCTTCATCTTGAGGAAATTGGCAGGCATCTGGAGTGGAATAATTCCTTAGCGTTCTGTTTAGTTTGGATTTCTTAATTCAGGGGTGGCTTAAAACCAGAATCACAAATACCTGCTTCTAAGAAGCACTGAACGTTTTCTTTTGCTTTGTGGATATAGTAAGTGCTCAATAAATGTTGCTTGAATTGAATCATCCTGTCCATCCTTTGTTGGGGCTGTCGTGGCTGTTCAGTCTATTTTGAAATACAGAAGAATTTGAAGGAGAAGGACCTCCAAATCATCTGTCCACTGACAGTTTCTCTTCCCCTCCAACTCAGTGTACACAAAACTTCCAGACACAGCTTCCTAAAATGCTTCTTGGGTTCCTCCTCATTTCTCAGTTACCTACGGAGTAAGTCAGACCCCCAGCCCACCGCCATCACCCTCTCCTTCCCTCTTTGCCAAGAGCCCTCTGTTCTAACCACACCGGTTTCAGAGCCCCTGGACATACTGTAGGTCCCTGGGGGTTCAAACGGTTTGCTCTTGGCTACTAACTGAAAGGTTAGTAGTTGAACCCACTCAGGAATTCTGAAGAAGAAAGGCCTGGCGATCTGCTTCCAAGAAAACCCTATGGAGCTCAGTTCTATTCTGTAACACGGGGCCACCATGAGTCAGAAATGACTCGATGGCAATGGGGTTGGTTTTTGTTTTTTTTGAGTAGACACTAGGTCCCTGGGTGTTGCAAATAGTTTGCTTTTCGCTACTAACTGAAAGGTTGGCCTTTCAAATCCACCCGGTGATGCTGTGGAAGAAAGGCCTGGGCATGTTTCCATGAAGATTACAGCCAATAAAACCTCTGGAGCAGTTCTGCTTTGTGACACACGGAGTCACCAAGAGTTGGCATCAGCTCGACAGCAACAAGTTTGTTTTCGTCGTTGTTTTTGATGTACACGTAGTCCACGACTTAAGACGGGGTTCTGTTCCAATGACTCCGTCGTAAGTCACTTCTGACGTAAGTCGAATACCTCTTTTTTGTTTTTATATTAAGTTCTCATTATTATTACCTTTTATTATCAGTATCTTTAGAAATCCAATCTTTGTCTTTGGGGGTTAGAAACATTATATATAAACCTCTGAGAATGATAACATTGTCGCAAATTACGTGCTGCAACCTTGCATGTAGTACATATTACTAACGATAAGATGTACAGAAAAAAAAAGATGGTCATAAGTGCAGTTCGTCGTAACTCGAATACATCCCAAGTCTGGGGCTACCTGTACTCTGCCTGTGTGCTTCGTGCCGGGATTTCTCCCCACCTGGAGTACCATCCCCTGTCCTCTTTGCCTGTGGAGACGATTCTACCCCTCGAGGCACAGCTGAAGACTCTCCCTGTCTAGGAAGGCCCCCCTGCTGGCTCAGCCCTCTGCTAGAGTGCCCTGTGCCTGTCTGTACCATGTTTGCAAACAGAAGAGAGAGTGATAGATCTTCATGCACGCTTAGTACCCTTTACAAAGGTGTGAAAACATTCAGCTGCTGTAAAATCTTCCGAAGAAAATAAGATCCAATTAACGTCAATGTTTATGTCGGGAAAAGCCGAGGGTTTCGAAGGAATCCTTTTCACCCAGCTAACACGTATTTTTTGACTGCCCGCTCTTTGCCAGGCACTGAGGAAGAAAGGGGACAGAAAGGCCTGCCCGCAGGACACCACAGCTCTAGACTAGCAACATGCTTTTAAAGGTCTGCCCTGTGCCAGGGACCACAACACAATGCTGAGGGGGTAGGCAGCGGGGGAGGCTGCAAGCCAGGAGCAGGGGAGACATGCTGGGAAGTCAGTAGTGGAGACCTTGGATGCCAGGCTAGGGAGTTGGTGTTGCTATTTTTGAAGGTTCATAATGAAAATCAAAACCAAACTTGTTGCTGTCAATTCCAACCCAAAGACCCTATAGGACAGAGTAGAACTGCCCCATAGGGTTTCCAAGGAGCAACTGGTGGATTTGAACTGCCAACCTTTTGGTTAGCAGCTGAGCTCTTAACCACTGCGCCATCAGGGCTGCATCATCATGAAGAAGAGACTTGAAGTAAGAGGAGTGGTGTATGGGACTAGCTGGCGGTAACAGGGTGCTAACCAAAGGCCCTTGCCTAATCAGGATGTGGGTAGTATGGGCCAACAGAATGCTATTTTGAAATGACTCCCAGTTGCCTTAACTGGGTCATCCATCCTTAAACCTTGTATCTGAGCCTGAGCAGAAGCTGGGATCCTCACCAGCCTACCCTTAACCAATGGCACTTTCACCACCTGCCAGGTGGGCCCTCTACCCTCACCCATGACCCCACCACTGTCCATTACATGTCCCCCACACCTTGCCAGGGATCCCCAAGACCTGCTAGGTGCCCCCACCACCCACCACGACCACCCAACAGGTGCCCCTTTGTAACTGGCCTCCCTCCCCTCTGAGAAGTGACAGAGGGGACTAAGGTGCTGGCTTGTTAGTCACACCACTGCTCTCATCTCCTCTCTCCTTAAGTGGGGTGGAGGGCGGTCGGGCCAGACTGTGGCCAGACGACCGTTCTTGCAAAGGGGTGGGCTGGGGAAGGGCCCTCCCTGGACAAGGCGATGCCCAGATTTGCAGTTGGCCAGCCCAGATGCAGCGGCCTGGATGGAAACCCCAGTGCTTGTGGGTCCTCTCAAATCCAGGACGGTGTCTGGCAAACAGTCGGGAACCTACTCAGTGAGGAGGAAGTGACTGTTGACCCTTTGCCCCCCGTGTCCGGCAGGAGGACAAGCTCCTAGCCTCTGTGGAATTCAGGAGCTGGCACAAATCCAAGGATCACCAGAAGGGTCCCAAACCTAGCTGGTGGGAGCTTCTGTGTTGTGTGGCAAGGGCCCTGGACAAAGGGCCTGCTCAGAGACTGAAGGGGGCCTCCTTGGGCCTGGGGTGGGGGTCTGGTCAGGCCAGGAGCTGTTCCAGGCTGCACCGAGGTTGGGCTGAGTCTGCTCAGGACTGGCTGGAGGTCAGGGCAGCTAGGGGATCGCTGGCTGCCTCCTGGGGCTGGGGGCCAGGACTTGTTCTAGGCTGGCATGGACTCTGCTAGGGTCTGGTCAGGGCCAGCCTGCTTGGGGTTGGCGTGGGGGCCTGTCTGAGGTCTACTAGTGGCTGGGCAGGGACCATTCGGGGTTGGGGTCTGTGGCTTTGAGGCCTTTTTTGAGCTGGGGTCTGTTCTAGGGCAGGGCCTACTGGATGCTGAGTGGGCAGTGCACTGGCAGGGGTCTGCTCAGGGCGGGGGTCTGTTCAGAGCCAAGGTCTGTTCTAGGTCAAGGCCTACTGGAGGCTGAGTGGGCAGTGCACTGGCAGGGGTCTGCTCAGGGCAGGGGTCTGTTCAGAGCCACGGTCTGTTCTAGGCCAAGGCCTACTGGAGGCTGAGTGGGGACTGCTTGGAGCTGCTGGGCTGGTCTGCTGGGCCAGGCCCGCTGGAGGCTGGGTCGGGACCACTCAGGGTTGGGGTCAGCTGGGCCGGGCCGCCGGAGGCTGGGTCAGAACCACTTGAGGCTGGGGTCTGCTGGGCCGCCCAGGCGCCCCCGTCCTGCCCCCGGCCTCCGCCCCGGCCGGCGCCCCC